GGAGTTCACATGGAGGTCGGGATGTTCAAACACGGCGACCCGAGGGCCAGGCCAGTCAATGGACAGAAACACCACAGGGGGGGGGGAGCGGGCCAAACACATGTACATGTGGATCGATGATGGGTGAAGATCGACGCCAACATCTTCGTCGCCCCCCCCCCTCCCACTTTTCTTGGGCAGACTTATGTCCCTTTCTGGGAGGAATGCCGAACGCACATCGTGCTCTCGTCGCAGGGCCACAGGCAAAGAGGACTTGGTCTTTTTCCATCATTCACCCCCCCCCCCTCCCCCCTTCCTGACCGTATAATGGGCATCAATGAGAGGGGTCTCTTCGCTGGGATGCATTATTCGAGTGCTCCCGGGAGTGGGCGGTGTCGCCGAATGCGTATATCGCCGAGGGCGCACGGGAGCTTGACCTCCCCAGAGCCTCTCCGAGCAGACTGGCACAAGGTCTCAAAGGGCGTGTCTGGGGCCTTGATGTGCCATGTGTGCCCCTTGCACGAGGGTCTCCTGGCTGGACAGGGTGTGGGCGTGAAAGCCCGAAACACGGAGCGAACACGCAGGGTGGCGGAAAAAGGGCCGCCCTTCGTTGTGTCCTGGGACTTCAATCTGGGCGGTGGGACTGGGCGAAAACGCCCACCAGCGGGCGCCCCCCGAGCAGCAGACATGGGCCCTGCTGCACACGGCCAGCGGACATGTCTCCACCAGACCCGGGGGGGGGGGGGCCTAAAAGAGGCCGGCCCATCAGGAGAGGGACTTCCCCCGAAACTTGGAGACTGCGGGTCCAAGAAGGCAGGTCGAACGCACAGGAGCAGCTCCAAAATTCTGCGCAGATAGACAGCTTGAGGCCTGCCCTGGGGAATGTCCGGAGCGTCGTGCGGGCCCCTCCGTCTGGGGGGCGAGGAGGGAGGGGGGGGGGGCAGCACGGACACGGGGCGCCCCTCGGCCCCCCGCCCCCCAGGTCGAGGGGCGCCTGTCTCAGCTGGGCAGGCGCGCACTACATCCAAACCCTGAGCGTGGCCACAATTACCGAGCCCCCGCTGTGGCAACCATGGGTGCGAGACCCCTCACGTCTCAGAGTTCGTGGGAGCCTGCGCGGGTTTCGGAGTCACAACACATAAAAAGGGCCGCAGGGGCGCCGGGGGAGGCCCGGCACCAGCGAGACCTGCCCCCGACCGCGCGGTGGCCATTTTCCCGGCCCAGCGCGCCGAAACCCCACGGAAGATGCTGCTGCTCGGGACTGGGCCGGAGGCCTCGCGCTCAGACACACCCGTGCCGGGACTCGCGCGCCGCCCCCTCGCGGGAGGTGGCCATTGTGCACGCAGTCTCCCTGGCCCAGAGGGGCGGGGGCTGCACTGCCTGCAACCGGCCACAGGGCCCGTGCGAATATGGACGCCCCCCTCCAGAACAGGGGGGGGGGGGGGCAAATGATGGGCCCAACCTAGAGGGTCCGGGACCCCCGTTCGGGCGCATGGACATATCCGTCCATAGCAGCCGCATAGCAAGGGGGGCGGGGGGGGGGGGGAAGGAGGTCAATGATGGTGCGCATGTGCGTGCGGGCACCGAGGAGATAGGCACATGGCAGAGGGAGGGAGGGAGAGAGAGAGAGAGAGGAGGGCAGGACGCACAGAGATGACAGATCCTCCACCAGGAAGAGGTCATGGTCGAAGACATACATGACGAAGGCCGCGATGTCGTGCATGCCCTGGCGGTACGACAACGAGGGGTGCTGGAAGGAATAGATGGCCAGGATGTTGGCCAGGCGCGATTGCACCGAGGGAAGCCGGAAATAGGCCAGCTCGGGGAAGGTCCGCTTGACGTCCTGCTCGATGATGCGGTACAACTCGTCGATGACGCGCTTCTTGCTCCAAACAGACTGGTCCAGAGGCCGCCCAGGGGGCGAGGGGGGGGGGGGGGGGGGGGGGGGGGGGGGGGGGGGGGGGGGGGGGGGGGGGGGGGGGGGGGGGGGGGCATGCGAAAGGCAGACGCACCCGCGTGCCACCAGGCGCGCTTTCTCCGAGGGCCGGCAGGTTTGGCCCGCTTTGGGCACCTTCCCCCCCCCCCCCCCCTGGTGGCATTTTATCTCCCTCTCTTGCCCCACCCAACTGGAAGGAGGCCCCGATCTCGATCTCCCTAGATCCCACACTCTGGGCGATCTGTACGTGCGGATGCTCCCACCTGCCTTCCTTTGGGCTCTGGCCCCGATCTCTCCCGGGCCCCGGTCCGTGTTGACCCCCCGCCCCACCCCGCCATGCCGGAAACCAGGAAAAGCCGGAACGCGTGCGGGGTGGCGCGGCCAGGCACGCCTCCATGAGGCCCGCGTCCGAGCGCGATAGGCAGCCCAGGCTCCGGCACCCTCCCGTTGACTCATCTACTGTCGCCCCCCGTCTCCCCCCTGCCCGCCTGCCCCCCTCTTCGCCACGTTTCCGCGTCTTGCGCCTCCATCTCCTTCGCTGCCCCAGCCCCCGCCCCACCCCCCCACCCCACCCCCCTCGAAACAAGGCTCCTGTCGCGCACAGGGGCCTCCTCCCCCGCCCCCCTTCAAAGGCAAGCCAGGTGACCATGTCAGGGACAGCACCCCATCCCCCCCTCCCCACACACACACACATAGACACAATTGGCACAGCTTCTTCCAGTACCCCGCGTGCCCTTCCTTTTTCTTTCGTCCACAGGCGCGCCATGTCCACGCGTCGTCTAAGATCACATCTTGCCTCGGACGACTCGCTGCCCCCTCGGCTGGAGGATGATGTCGCCCCGAGCACCCGGCGCCGCGGCCGTGCGCCAGTCAGCTACCTCGAGTCGGACTCCGAGGAGGATGTTGCGCCGCGCCAAGCCGGTCGTAGGCGGCTGGCGGCCCGGTCGCGCCTGGACGACAGTCCGCCGGCGAGGCAGCCACCGGCCAAGCGCGCCAGGCGCGCCGGCCGCCGGGCATTCCCTGACAGCGAGGAGGACTTTTCGGCCAGCTCCTCCGAGGACGACGAGATGCGCCCCTCTCGGTCGGCCTCGGTGTTCAACGACCTGGACGACTTGTCACCACCGTCGTCTCCCGGCGACCAGGGCCTGGGGCCGGTGTCAGCCACCCGGCGCAGCAGTCGCCAGCGACACGCGGTGGATGATGAGCTGGCGCGCCTGCGCGCGGCCCGCAGCCAGGGGGCCACCCTTCGCGTGGCCGCGGCGCCGGCCTTCAGCCACGACGACACCGACGACGAGGATGGCCTGGGAGTGAGCGCCGCACCGGCCGGCCGCTTGCGCCGGCTGTCCCGCTCGGCCCTCGAGCAGGAGGATCTCCAGGTGTCGGAGTCCCTCCGGCAGGATCTCCTGTCCGGGGGCGGCTTCTCCGAGGATGAGGACGACCTCGCCGCCGAGGAGATGATCAACCTGAAGGCGGCACGTGCACGCCTGCTGGCGGCCAGCCGCCGCCGTGCCGCCGCGGCCGCCGCTCTGGCCATGCCGGCAGCACCGGCGTCATTGATCGAGCCGGCGGCTGGGCCGCGCCCGGGCAGCCGGGCAGCCGCGCGAGCTGCGCGAGCCGCACGCCCAGGTGCTGACACCGGCGCCGCCGCGGCCCCCAGCCCCGGCATTGACAATGCCAATGACGAGGATGAGGACGACTTTGAGGATGTGCTTGTGTCGGACTTGGGCTCGGACTCGCCGGACCCCGGGTCCACCACCGAGTCCCTCAAGTCGACATCTCCCAGCCTGCCCACCACCCTGGCGGCCTGCTCCGGGCAGATCGAGGCCACTGGCGCCGGGGGGCCGGGCCGACCGCTTGGTACGTCCGCCCCGGCGCCGGGGGAGGGGCCCGCACGGGGCCGCCCCTCGCTGATCATGCAGCTTCTCCACGGTCGCGGGGCTTCGGCGACACCCGTCGATGGCAAGCCACTGACCCCACCCGCACCTTCCATGGTCCGGGCCCTGACACAGCCTTGCTCTGATGCGGAGACCCTTTCGCCCCGGCGGCGTCGCAGCCGGCTGGTGCTCGATGGCGACATCGACCAGGCGTCGGCCGGGGCGGCACCTGCCGGCGCGCCGATCGCCGCGCTGGACTACGATTCGACCACTCGCCCCTTTCAGTTGTCCGATGTCGCCCTGGGGCCGCATGCCGACCCGATGGCCCGGACCATGGTTGTCCTGGCTGGCACCGGCCGTCGCGATGCCCGCGCGGGTTCTGACAGCGACCGCTCGGCCGGCTGGTGGCCCCCCTCGGATGCGGAAGCCGACTCGGATCTGGATGACTTCATCGAGCATGATACCTCCAGTGAGGAGGAGCATGAGGAGGAAGGCCCAGCGGGGGACGACCAGCCGGGGGCAGGCCCGGTGACCTCTGGCAGGGTCGGGCCCTTCCGCACCATTGATCAATACTTCCGACATGGGGCCGGCCGAGCTCCACGGCCGCGACCGGCCCTGCTGGCGCACTTCCCCTACATCCGGTGTCTGCCGCCACCGCATGATACGGTTGGCCTGTTCCTCTTCCACCGACTGTACATGGCCCTCGGCTTCCGGGAGGTTGAGGATGCCGAGCGTGGTGCGAGTGGCGACGGTGACGCGGATGTGCCCTCGCCGCACCTCCATGCCCTGCGTCGGGCCCTTGGCACCATTCGCCGGCGTGCGGACACCTACCGCGGGTCTCTTGTGTCCAGTAGCACCTGGCGGCCGGACTTTGAGGTATGTCCATCAACATGGCACACGCACGCGCACACGCACATATATTTGTGTATATTGCAAGGCTGTACTCCTCTCGGTCTGGACACTGGCCCAATGTGGCTTTCGCGCCACTGACGAAGCCCGATCATGCTCTCCTGCCCCCTCGATGTCCGACGCAGCTGGCCCTCCGGTCCTTCTTCGACTTCGACTTCGTGGCCCCGGGCGGGGGCGCCCAAACCCGAGCGCCCATCGGCCGGGGTGCCCGGCGTGCCCTGTCCGATGGCATCGGCGCCGGCTATATGTGCTATGCTTGCCGGCGACCGCACCGTGGCGCCGATCCGGTCATAGTTCGACTGTCCGATCGAGCGGTGGACGGGATGCCCCCGGGGCCTGAGGACCCGCCGCCCCTCCGGGAAGACCTGGAGGGCGAGCATGCCAGCAATCCCGGCGATGTGGGCCACGATGGCGACCACAGCGACCCCCTTTCGCCGGATGTACACGACACACTGGCTGGCGATCTGCGACGGGCGGCCCGCGATGCGCTCGCCGAGTCCGGCCGCACTCTGGCCCCGGCCGCCGGGCCATCGGATGATGGGCTCCCGTCATCCGAGGCCACCCTCTTCCATGTGCGCATTGCGGCCGATGGCCGCGAGGCCGAATACCTGGTAGGCCGGCAGTGTGCCCAGCGAAGTGATGTCTACCATCGCCTGGTGCATTTGGAGCAGCGCCTGGAGCATGGTATCAAGCTTGAGGTCCTCCGGCACCGCATTGATCATCCGTCGGCCGGGCGCCTGGAGTTGTTGGATCTGATTTCCTCCGACGCGGAGTGGCTGGCCGCTGGCCGGCACCAGGTGGCCGACACATTGGATGCAGCATCGGCCTTCCGAGGGTAGAGATGGTCGCCATAGAGCCTCTGTGCGCCTCCCCGGTCGGATGGATGTTGGCATCCTCTTCCCAAACACGCACACACCCCCACCCTGCACATCGCCCAAAAGGGCTCTGTATATTGGCCGCTGAATTTGCACATTTTTTACTGATAGCGCCCGTGCCCCACTCGCGGGGTGTGCCCTTCCGGTGTGCTCCGTTCTGCAGCTCTTCGTGCTGAGTGGGAGGAGGCGGGGGGGGGGGGGGCGAGGGACGGGAGGCGGAGATGGGGAGATGACAAAACCGAAAGACCGGCCGACATCTTTTCGTTTTGTCTGCCGCCAGGTCTAAGATCGCACGTCGTGTGATTGGCGTTGATCACGCCAGGTGGGTTCAACCCTAAAAACCCTGCCCGGATGGGTTACCGCTGGTGCCTGCACGTTCGGCGGATGAGCGTTTGCATTTGACAAAGGAGGCCTTTTTTATTCCGACCCACATATTCAAGATGGAGAGGGAGAGAGAGGTGGCTTCCCCCTGAAGCGAGATGGTTGTCTTCGGTTCTCGCCCACGAGGGGGGGCCACGCCCCGGGGGCGGTGCCAATGTACCGAGAGAGAGAGAGAGAGAGAGAGCGGGGCGGAGCGGGGGCAGAACGAGGGGGAGCCGGGCGGACGGTGTGCCCTGGGCTGCGGCTTTCAACCCCAGGGACGACGCGCATGCTCTCCGGCGAGTTGTCCTCCTCCCGCGCCGTCGGGGGGGGGGGACGGGGCACACTGGTGGCGGGGGCAGACGTGTCCGTGGGGGGATTATTCTCTCGAGCAGGAGGGAGCGGGAGGGGGGTGGGGGCGGGCCGCCGCGGTTTTCCGGCGGCTTGGGACGGCGTG